TGATCTTTTATCAAATTCTCTCGACTTATTCTTGAAGGAAATGGGTAGAGATCAGTTTGGAGAATTTGTATGTGGATATCAGGGCTTAAAGGGTTAATGAATTTTGGAAATCACGGTGAGCACCTTTTCAGGGGCGGCGCCTATAGGGGACATCAGTAACTGTATAAAAACGTTGCTTTTGTTATATTTTAAATTTGTCATGAGTGAAACAAAAGAATCTTTTGTTTTAAGAACCAATGCGCTTCTGGCTGGCACATTAATATCAACAGGTGATATCAGCTTATGTTAAAAATAGAGATAGTTGAAAACAACCTTCTGGAGCAAAAGAGACAATATCAACATTAGCACTGCATATTTGCACTCGCCTCGGTAGTAACCGGCAGGGTGAATGATCGCAAGTGAAACCTCTCGCCTGGGGCTATGCCATCCTCATGAGTCCTATGAGGACAAAACAGCTGTCCATGGCTGCCACTACTGGGAAGATATGCTTGTCTGCATGTGTAAGGTACTGGCCATATTGCGGAGTTGGTATGTGAGCTTCAGTGCTTAAGTTAGTATTGCTTGCAAAAGAGACAACCCACAATGGCACCACATTGATTGATGGAGGGGGGGCATGAGTGACCTCACCACCATGTCATGCTAATGGAAAGATGTACATCGTTTCCATAATACAGTACTGAAGAGAAAAAGAAAAAATTTTACCTGTCCTTTCAACAGGATATTCTTTAATAAAGGAAGGTGTGATTTGTTGAGATCTCTAAGTGATTTGATCCCATGTACATGGCAAATAGCCACTAGATACAGGTTTTCCAACTGCTTTTGATCCCATTTCAAATCTGGCAACAAAACAAATCCCGTAACAGGATCTGGGTCCTCAAACACAACACGCTCCACTTCAGCTTTTTTTTCCAGAATGTTGTATACCCACTGTAAAAAAGACAAAGAAAAGAGACTTAGAAAAAGAGCAGTTAATTTTGCACGTAAAGGACCCCCGGCTGGTAGACTGTCAGCAGTCTCTTATTTTTCTTTTTAGTCAAAGTCATTTGAGGGCACAATGACAACAACAACATCTTTTATATAAACAGGATAATTTCACAGCATAGCTGATGTGGTCGTGTATAATATAACTCAAACTGAATAGATAGTTAATAAGGAAAAGAGACTAAAAACATTCACCAGGTTGACTTTGCACAAAATTATTTACATTTTACTTTTTACAGGTTTTTATCCACAGTTTTCTGTTTACAATGTTTCAATCTTTACATTTCTATTTGCAATATCTAATTTCTATTTACAATATATTTACATCTGCGTTATCACTTTTTAAGCCCCTCCTTGAAGGCAGCTAAGCTTTGCTTCACCCTGATCTCATTGGGCAGGCTATTCCATAGTTTAGCCACACTATACCTGACTAATTTTATTAGAAAGTTTGAGGTACATGTAGGCCTCGGGAGGGTAAAACATTAATTTTTTTCTTCTTAGATCATATTTGCAGTTATAAGGAACATTTACTTTTCGTTTGCCGCATGAGGCTCTGGGGGAAAAAGGACAACCACTCGCAGCCTACATGGCCAATATGTGAAGTTTTAAGTAAGAAGAATGGGTTTGAGTTTTATTTTCCCATAGTATGGGCACTAAAAAAGGAAGCTTAAACATGTATGAAGGTCTGGCCTTAGCTTTTCAGGAAAATGATAGTTTAATTATTAACTTTTACCACCTTAAAGGGTCATTTGTTTGTTTGTTTGTTTGTTTGATTGTCTTCACAAAAATCTGACCATTTCTTTGGAATATGGAAAAACCCAGTCCACTAAAGTTCATTTAAATAACTGTTTACAACTTAATACATTTAATACTGAACTCACAATCCACACATGATCCACAGGCTAGTTGCTTCTAGACATACCTGAATATTGAAAGATTGTTCTTCAATAAATGGTAGAGTGATTGTTTCATAATCAGATGGTGTTTCATAAATAAAATGCACATCTTGCGCAGAATATTTTTCCAAGTGTTTGGCAGTGGCTGGGTAGATGACTGTGCTTTTCAAGGTGTTTAAACTTGGTGGCGGATGACATAAGTACTGGCTATAAATGTCATTGTTGAACTCCCTAGCTAAACTGGTTTCTCTTGACAGCATTTGAGGCAAGGTGGTCTCCGAAAAAGGAGTTTTCTCCAATAAAACAACAGCATCACGATCGGAATTGTCAAACTTTCCTGTAAAGAAAATAGGATAATAATACATTCTTNTTGTTGAACTCCCTAGCTAAACTGGTTTCTCTTGACAGCATTTGAGGCAAGGTGGTCTCCGAAAAAGGAGTTTTCTCCAATAAAACAACAGCATCACGATCGGAATTGTCAAACTTTCCTGTAAAGAAAATAGGATAATAATACATTCTTTACCTTGACTTCTTACCATTAAGCCCTTTAATTAGGCCCTAAGTGACTCCTGCCCAATATCCACATACAAATTCTCTCAAATGATATCCATATACTTTCTTAATGAACTAGTTGAGAGAATTTGTTTTAAGATCAAAGCACTTTCCTTTAGGTGTAATTTTATTTATTCTCATCATCTGCTCTTTTAACTCTGTATTGATATTGTTTTTCACAGGAGAAAGTTGATCTTGATCACTTTTGGAACACTAAATCCATTCTAATTTGTTCAGTTAACTGTATGTTCAAATCTGGGCCTTTGAAAACTCGAAACTGGAGTCATACTTAAAGAGAAAAGTAAATTACGAAAAAACACAAATGGAAGAACAAATTTGAGAGCATTTTTTGGTAAAAGCCCAAATGAGTTCCAGTTCTACATGTAACTGGACCTCTAGAGTATTACTCCGTTCAAGCTCACCACATAACACAACTACAGTTGACCCATGATAACTCAAACCCTCACTAACCTCGCGTTAACTTAAACCAAAATCTATTTTCCCTGGATTTACTTTACACATTTACTGTAATTTTACCCTCAGTAACTCAACCCTTCCTATCCTTTACAGTCTAACATCAGCCCTACATTCTAGGGGAAAGGGTATGTACTCCGATATAGGAAACAGGGTTTGCAAATTTTATTGATGAGTGGAGTGAGTGTGACTTCTGCTTCACAAATTTTGAAGTCATTTTGGAATATTTGGAGTCAAGTATCACGACGAAAAAAGCCATTTTCAGACTTTCCAGCACGTGGTCCTGGCGTGTGTATACACTATCGTGAGGAAAACACGAAGTAGCTGTGGCGGTCCGCTGACCTGGAAAGCTCAAATCCATGATGGTGGTCATCGAGTAAACTTTGATCGTAATTTACCCTCTTCCTGTTTTGTTGTGCAGTATAATTCTTTATTTTCAATGATTTAATTAAGGTTTACAACGTTTACAATTAATGTAAATTGTATTTGTTGTGAAAAAGGCAAGGACAAAACTGTGTTTGTTACCTCCGTAACCTCAGTGGAGTCATCTGAACAATTTTGGTGTAAAATACGCCAAATTTGGCGCATTTGCAAACCCTGGGAAAGTGCTATGGAAGGGTATGTTTTTTGCAGGTTTCTAAAACTAACATTGGTCTATATCTGAAGCCTGAAGCCCTCTTTTCATTGCTGCCCATTTTTGTGAGAGGCAGAGGCTGAGTGGAAATTTCGCCAAGGTAAGAAATCTAGAGAGCACCTTGGCTTCAGAATAACCAGCCACTTGGGATGCTCAATTTTTTATTCTGAACCCCACCATGATCGTAATAAAAATGGAACTTCCCCTTATAGGAACGCTTTTAAGGAACGAGGCATACTGTAAATCCTCTCTTAAGCCCCCTCTCTCAAATAATCCCCTCCCTCTCTATTAAGAGAGAAGATGCGATCAACAGGAGTGTCAAAGAGCTATTGCAGCCTGACGATGGGATTTCGTTCAGCGAAAAGCGAATAAGCCAAAGAGCCTTATAATCACTGCAAAAAAACTGTCCTCGAATTGTTAAAGCGACATTGAGGAGTATCTATTGAGGTTTATTCAGTTATTTGGACGAATCCGTTCGACCATTTGTCTTCGTATGCAAACAGGGAATGAATTAATGTTGTGTCAACTAGAAGCACAGGTTTTAGAACCAACAAGCGTTACGCTATTTTGCTTGAATTCTTGGGTGATCTTTGCCTTAAAGTAGGCTTTTTGTTTGTCGGTGATTCCATTTAGCAGTGCTATTAATGTAATTTCTACGAGAAATGCTGCGCTGGTATAAACAAGTCTCTGGCGAAAGGCAATCGGATACTTCGACTGCATTTAAATTACTTGGCTAGGTCAGAGCACGTACTGCTTTGAGCTTAATCCGTTTTAAATGTATTAAAATAATTTTTAGCTCGTNCAAAGGATTGAAGGCTATTGTTATCATCAATAATTTCTTCTGCCAGTTTAATCTTCTTCGTGGCAGGAGTCTCAGAATTCTCATTTTGCCGTTTTGGCGCGCTTGAGGCAGCCATCTTCTTCCCTGAAACCCACAATCAAAGGTTAGTCGTAACTGATTTCAATCGATGATTAATCGGATTTCGCTTAGTAGCCAGGCAGAGACCTTTCGGGAATCACCGAGCATGACGGCCATGTTGTGTTTTACCAGTCGGCACGCCCTCAGTGGTACGGCTTCTAAAACAAGCAGTACGCCGTGAATATTGTAATTTCAATTTCATTCTTATATACCGGCAAAAACGGATGGGACATTGTCAAGATCTTTAGCTGTTCTAGATAGCGAGAAAACTGAGGATAGTCGTGTTCTGGGACGAGCAAGTTCCCAATACCGCATCGGTAAGCTTGTGTTTTCGAGATATTTCTGAAATGTTTTAGCTACAGACGTCTTTAGCATATTCTTCTGTTGAAAGCACTGAAATACCGGCCATATCTAAGTGTGTAATCATGACATTTGAATGATCCATTTGTCCCACTGGCTAATTTCTAAACTAAATGTTTGCTGAGTTGAGTGTGTTCGGTTCGTAATGGCAGTTCAGTTGGGGTCGTTTGGGGCTAAATATTATTTTGTGCAACATCCTCAGTTGATCTACTGGTCTTTGATTTGGTGTTTTTACCGTCGCATCTTGCGGAATCTAAACCTCGAAAACGTAATATGTGGTTTTTCTATTTCTTCCTGAATTGTTTCCATATATAGACGTTAACACAATTCATGCAAGCAACGGCGAGCTTGGAAGGGTTTACGTCATCTAGGACGAGTAAATATTGCCAACGTTGGGGATATTTTCTTTGAAACCAATAAGCTTACATATTCTACGTAGACTAAGCTTGAGCTGAATCAATCTCTGTGTTGTTTTCATATTTCAGAGCTGAAATACGGTAATATTTTCTTATCATTCCTTTAGACTAAATATAATAGCATTTGTTTTTAATATTTATACAATACGTAGCTGAAGTTGCAGATAATTATCTTGGCTCACAGTCACCAGTGAAAGTCCAAAGATTTTTCCAGAAGTTTACGAACTAAAATATTGATATAGTTATCAACTGGATGACAGCGCAGCCTATATTTTTAATTCAGTTTGAAAAGAACATTTAAAAGGTCTTTTCAAAAGTCCATGAAATACTAGATAGAGGCTTGACATTTCAAGTTGGATATGAATACTGTGAAATAATTAATTTTTCTCCTTTGGCTGTACAATCACTGCTATAATTTTGTATTTAATGTATGCACTTTAGCATTATCCTTAATTTTCTAACTATATTTACAACCAAAACCATTTACATTTACATTTTTTGTTCATTTACTTTTTTCTTTTTTAAGTAGTCGACTTGAAGCTAACAATGTGATAATGTTACATGTTAAATTTTATTGAAGGTGGCATTTTTTTCGGTATTTCAAGACCTTTTTTTATAAAAATTAACTCTGGAGCATATTTATATAATATAGATGAGAACAATGTTTATAATTGATAATATAATTTTTGAGTTGGTCATTGCAATGCAAACCAATGAGTGTACACCTAACATGTTTGTTTGTTTGGTTTTTTTTTGTTTTGTTTTTTTGTTTTGTTTTTTTTACAGATTTTAATGAAATTTTTGCAAACTGTGTTTTTTCAGTAACTAGCACTGTCATGGAATAGATCTTGGAAGAAAAGGCTTATTTGGCACAAGTTTTTTAATCCATTAATGCCACGGATTATTTTTATCTCTGCAGGCTTTGCCGAAGTGTCAACATGGGGAAGCTATTATCAAAAATATTTGGAAACAAAGAAATGAGAATTTTAATGTTGGGGCTTGATGCTGCTGGAAAAACCAGTATCCTCTTTAAAAAAATGCATGAGCTATAATGCATTGAATAATGAGAGACTTATCTTTTCATTAATTTTTTAATGTGATTTTGTGCAAGTATCTGATACTTACAAGCTTGGTTAATATGTGTTTGAATTAATAGTTGTAGTGTTATTCAGGAATTTAGAGGGTTGAGAGCACACAATATTATAATAATTTTTTCCCATGTTGTCAGAACTTGCGACAATTATTGTTTTCTTCTCTCAATCTTCTGAATTCCTACTCTTCGCTACAGTGTGTAAAATGCTGTCATAATGTAGTTTTGAAACCAGGGCAACAGACCATGGTTGTATGTCAGGTGAAACGTGCCTCGCTAAGTAATTGCATGTTTGTATCTTTAGTATATATTCTAGAGTAAAAGATAGAACATAGATAATACAAACAAAATTTTCTGTTTCACACTTAGAATAAGGGCCTTGGTTTTTAAATTTGAGTAAACACATGCACGGTGGGGTTATCAATATGTAACACCTGTACAGTGTAAATAGCGTTTATATTTTCTGACAGTTAAATTCCGCTTAAGGATTGTACCATTTTCCAGGTAATGTCGTAAGTCTAATAGGTGTACAAAGAGCTATGAGGATTATATTCCACTCTGTTGTTGGTAGTGTAAAGTTTTAAGTTCATGTGAATTATTTTCTTTAGTTGGTACTTTTTCAGTTGCATATACTTACCACCATCGGATATTAGTACAGATTTGTAACCTAACTTAACCTAGTGACTGAGCTTACAAGTAGCTACAATGTATCAGGGCTCAAAAAGAACTTGAATTCCAGCTTGTCCTTTGGGTAAGCAGCTTTTACATTTTGCTTGCCCAAGGCCACTCCTTGCTCATCAAAGTTAATGATTTTGTTGGAGGTTGAATTGTCTGGACCTTCGCTGTTTCAGCAAGTAAGCTTTATAAGTTACTTGCTCATCAGGAAACTATTCTTGTCCTGGACTACTGGACGAGACTTGTTTCAAGCCCTAGTGTATAGTCATGTCGTGATTCAGTTTCATCCTTGGTTTAAATTTTGTTTTCCGTTGTCTTTGGGAGTGGTTTTGTTGATTATGAGTTTATAAAATAAAGTTAAATAAAATTTGAACCAGGGGAAAAAATGAGCTAAAACGTGCAATGTATTTAAACTGTGATGAGGTTAAGTACATTGTAATGGACAATATTTTGTTATTTGTAATTTATTTTTTATTCCATTCTATAGATAATACCTGAGTTGTACAATATTAATTAATAGAGGGTTGTTTAAACTATGTGTACATAAGGTAAGCACAAAAATTGAGAATGGAGAAGGGCACATTATAGTAAAACTAATTATTGCCCTTTAACAAGATTGACTAAGCAGCTTCAAAAAAACATGGCCATCATCCTTGCTGGCTGGCTACTGACTGCTGAGGGTTGCATGGGGGCTGAGGAAAAGAAAAAAATAGTAATTCTCTAGAGTGTTCATTTCCTGATTTCTCTAGTGATAGCTCTGTAGTTGCTCTGACCTCTTAGAGCTTGTCCCTTGTTTTTCCTCTTTACATGTGATATTTTTTCAAGGTTTGTCTGATTCACATGCATACATGTATGTACATGTAAAATATAAAAAGACAAAGAGGAAATTCCCTCAAGCATATCACATAGCCTACACTAGGAAAGCAAAACATAAAGCTAGAGAGATCTCTTTTAAAGGGATGAAAATGTAAGTTTCATCCAACATGTCTATCTTTTTCATCAATAATCCTTTACATTGTACATTTTCTACTGTTGATCCCAGATGTCCTCATTTCTTAGTGCAGTTTGAAAAAAACTAGACACATTATTACTAAATATTTATTTGCTTAGTCCAAGGTTTATAACAGCTGTAAACTTAATGTTAAAAATGGAAATCACAGTTTGCATTATCAGGGTGCTAAAAAGGTAGTTTTGCTGCTTGGTACGTGTATTTGGGTATTCTGTAGCTAGTATGTACTAGCCCAAGAGATATTCTAACTACCCATGTTTTTGATGAGCAGGATCTGTGACTTTGCTATGACTGTAAATAGGTTTTTGCAATGTTCCTTGTTACATTTTGTTGCATTTATATTCATAGAGTTTACAAAAAAATATTTGTTGATCCTTAACACCAAGCAGCTGTATTGTACAAGCTTAAACTTGGACAGTCAGTCACAACCATACCAACTGTAGGTTTTAATGTGGAGACAGTGTCCTACAAGAATGTTAAATTCAATGTTTGGGTATGTTCTATTATAATGCTCTATCTTGAATCTATTAAATAATATTGTTAACTCATTCATTTGTTCGGAGCGATAACTTAACAAATAGACAACAATTTTCCAAGGTCTGTACTCTAAAATGATGGCAAAATGTTCAAAACTCAAGAGGAACCATAAGCCACAGGCAAGTGGTTTCTCTGTATTGTTTCACAATCAAGTTAATTTAACTGGCTGATACATACATGTACATGTAGCTTTCAGTTTCTGATGTCTTAAACTTGTAGCACTTGGTCAATGCCCTGATGATTGGCTAGCACTCTACTTTTCAGTTCTTGACATTATCCATTTTAACTTGCAATGAACCAAATCTGTTCAGATACCACATTTCACTGTCAGTTGTAGATGGTCATTGTACATTCAGGAGCAAAATGAGGTTAACACTATTTCAGTATTCAAAACTTTGACTGTGACCAGTCTCATAGCATGCAAGATGTTAGTTTAGTAAGCTTTTTAAGTCCTGCAACTGACTTTGGATAGCAAACTTCCTACGCATAAGAAGTTCGTAGCCATGGAGATTGTACCTATATTTTGACATTTGAGAAATAGTATTGTTTGTTTTTTTAGGATGTTGGTGGACAAGATAAGATTCGCCCTCTTTGGCGGCATTACTATGCTGGGACCCAGGGCTTGATATTTGTAGTTGATTGTGCCGACCGTGATAGAATTGATGAAGCAAGACAAGAGCTCCACAGAATTATAAATGACAGACTCATGAAAGAGGCCATTATCTTAATATTTGCAAACAAACAGGATCTACCTGATGGTAGGTATAATTGGACACATTAGACATGTAGCGCATTAAAAAATGCACATTTGTGCTTTTTTTGGTAATGCATTTTGCGAAATTAATTAAGCCCGCTCTCAGTTAACACCCCCCTTCCCCGCTCAAACTTGCTTTGAGTACAGAGTTTTAGTGGAACCTCAATAATATAACAAAGGGCCAAGGGACTGGCAAGATTTGTTCACTATAACGAAGTTTGTTATACCAAGGGCCTCGTGATATATAGGGGTTTCTTATATCGAGGTTTCACTACATGATAGAGGATTTTCAATAGTGGGCTATAACAGACCAGGATGTGTTGTTATTTCATCAAGACTCTTGGTTGAAAAGGTTTAAAGGCTTGTTTATAGTGGAAAGTGCACCTACATGTAGCTTATCCAGCTAGTTTACAGGCACTCCACTCAAATACTTAGAAACAAATAATTCAAATGCAACATAACAGGATTAAAAACCCCAACTGGCAGGTGACAGTTGGCAGTTGGCTATTTACAAGTGTGGCTGAGGATTTGAACTCAGGACGACCAAGAACAAATCCTGCAAGTCGCCAGAGTGTGACTACGTGCTTACCACTCTGCCACACTGCCTCCTTGGTGTGGTTGATTGTTTTGTAAATCTACTATAACCATTGAAAACAACTACAAAAAGTACATTTAAAGCAATAGGTACATCCTGTAGCATCAGATAATAAATTGTCTGTAAAATAATTTCCTATTATACTAATGCCAGCATCACCACTAGACATAGAGTTTACTGGGCATACATAATAATAGGTGTTCAATGTGCAAAGTAAAATACCATCAACCATGTGACCCTGTAATTGCTTATGTGTAACAGTTTTAGTTGATGTTTTCTTATAATGAAGATTGTGGGACAGATTTGTTTCCATTGTCTCTTTTATAGCATAATTTGCTGAAATAAAAAATGACCAAATTTGTCATGGCTTCTGTTTGTTTTGGTAAACATGCATTTCTCTGCACCAATGTTCTTTACTTATCTTATTGTAAAGTTAATGAGGAAAGATGAGCGTAAAAATTAGCACACACTGTATGTTCTGGCACGTCTCACTGTGATTGAAAAGATTGCCTTGCTTACTTTCAAATAGTAATTTTCAATTTTTTTGGCACTTCAATTATCAAACTTACCAGGTGCAAGGCTTCCATTTGGATTCTTTGGCTCTTAATCTGCTCTGTAAGATGGTTATTATTGCATTTTTGAGTTGCTAATGTTTGAGTAATGATGTATATTAATTCATTTATTCTTATCAGTGAAGGGTTTATTTGCTTACTATTGATGCACTGGCCAAGGAAAAGGAATAATATTGCTTTGTTTCCGCTAAATGTCTTTAAGTTATCAAAACTAAGGAAACTTGCTTATAAAGTATTATTATTCCACTATTATCTCATTTTACCATATAAGGTCAAGAGAACGTGCAAAATATGAGGCCATAATACACTGCACTGTAGTGTCCTGGTTTAACCAGTTTGCAACAGGGCAAATACCGGCGGATTGGATGTAAATGGAGCAACTATGGTAGACAGAATCAGGGTGTTTTGGATACTCTTACCAAAAAATAGAGGCCAAAATAACATTTTTTTTTACAGTTGAATAATTAACTGCTCAATCAATGGCTTAGGCTGCATATAATATTGCAAACATGTAGCACATTGTATGAATTTTCAATCATAGCTTTAACATTTTGACTTCCGGAGAAGTGTTACTGGTTTTGATACCCAGCATTACGTTTTTTTTCTTTTTTATGGTTACTGGAGTAGACTATTCGTAGCCAGTAAGTACATGTCGTATTAGATAATTTTTGCTTCCTTACATGACATAATGAATCTAACAAATCTGAGATCAAGATTCTTATCTTGGATTCTCTCAAATAAACCATAATTATTGTGACTATAGCCCGGAGGATGATTTTATCAGTCAATTAATAATATTATTTTTTACTTTTTTCATTTTGCAGCAATGAAACCACATGAAGTGCAAGAAAAACTTGGTCTTACAAGAATCCGTGATAGGAACTGGTATGTGCAGCCGTCATGTGCAACAACAGGAGATGGCTTATATCAAGGATTACAATGGCTTAGCTCCAATCATCGCACATGATGCTCAGCTTTAGTAATTAAATTTTCCACAATAATTCAATAGTTTTTTATGGTCCAACAGCATTATTTGAACATTATTGAAACTCACAGCAGTTTTATCCTGAAATGGACTTGATGTTGCTGCTACTTTTTTTTTTGCGTTTTTATTACATACTTTTTTATGAGGTGTGCAGCTGTTGCAATGTTACTGGAGAAAGTAAAGGATTTGCTCTCTCTGAAGTTGTGAAACTGTGTTAGAAGCATTACATGGTTAAATATATTTTTATGGTTGATGTGGTGGAGTTAGTGTGCACCACAGTCAAAACTAACATCTGGTTATTGGCTGTTAAGTCTGTCTGCAAGCCAGGGCCTAAATCCTTCTTATTGGACCCCAGCTGTGTATCAGGACTTGAGTACATCCCATGATTGGTTTGTTTAAAAAGTCATTGTTCAATTGGCCAATCAGGTTAATGGGCAATTCAAAATGCAAATCTGGTAATTCAGTCTCTTGGGGGCCCAGAATAGGGATCTTGGCAATGCTCAACAGTCGTTACTATTACAAGCACGATGTTAGATTATGTACACGATGCTGGCTATAGCAGAGTGTGTGCATATTGTTTATCTATGTACATTGTGTAGACTGTTGCAGAGTATTCTATTATTAATTTTTTGGCATTTACTAATTCCAATGACATTATTTTAGAGTAGTGAGTCACTCCCAAAGCACCTGAAAGCTGGTTGTTTTCCATACAAAACTTAAGGTGTAAGTCATTCAGTGCTAATTAGTTTGGAAATGCCTTTGTAGCCTTTGTGTAGCCGCACCCTCCCCCCGACGAAGGAAAAACGGAGAGAGGGAGCTCCCTCTCTCCGTTTTTCCTTTGTCGGCATGAGGGTGCGGCTACATGTAGGCTAATGCCTTTGGGATAACTTGCATCCACATTACTGTTTGGTCTTCCTGTGGAAATCTACATGTATACAGCTTTTTTAATTAACATTGTTGGAAAGCCTACACAACGTGACTTCATAGCAATATGGGCAATTTAATAATAATAATAGTTGACCAGCAACCCATCAGTTATAAAATCCAAAGTCAAGCTTTTGCTCTGTTTTATCCATAAGTAACATGAAAACACTGCAAAGTTATGACTGAACTATAAGAGGATTTTCAGCCAGCCACATGACTTTGTTGTCGTTCTGCATTTGATGGGAGGCATTAAATCAGACAAGTTTAGTTGAAATAGATGGATGTTGTTGTTCAGTTTTATCCTTGGTAAATTTTATTGCTTTTTTATGAGGAATGTTAATTTATGACAATGCAGTTTTAAAACAAGGGAAAAGTAAAATTTCATCCAAGGAAAAAATTCAACCACAACAAATACTTTATTTTAATAATTAAAATTCATTTCTCAAACTACAACTATCGTTTAACTGTCCAGGGAGTAGATACCTGAAGACTTCTAGGTTCAGGTAATATTTTATCACAATTTTTTTTTCAGCGTTGGTCAGGAGTGTTAATCAAACCTTGTTAGGATACAGGATATCTTTACTAAGCATGGTTTCTTAAGTCAAGCCCCAGGCCTTTAGTTAAAGGTAGTTATCTGTCTACTTAGAAGAAAATGATTGGGTTTTTTTTTTAGAAAAAAAAATTAAGGGCCCATTTTGGATTTTGTCAGAGTGAATGGGGTTTGCTTTTAAGTGTTGCCAGAATTATAATTGTATTATATTAAGGTACCTGTTTTTGCTTGTTTAAAATATTTTGTATTTTTATTTAGCACTTTAGGTACTCTTAACCTTGATTTTATTTTGTCACAACATTGCTAGATAAAATTGAAGTGTAATTTGATTTGACTTTCCGATTGTTGTATTATAAATAGTATAAATTCATCCTTATTCATCAGAACTCATCTGCTTTATAAGGTAGATAAAGCTATTTCCAGGACGAATTACTTGTTTGCTGGATAGAAATTTTGCCAGTGAAAAGCACTGTACAACTTTTGGACAATAACATTAATAAGACAATTAACGCCTCACAAAAGGTGAAAATTTTCAAAATAATATTATTGGATTAGTCACACATGACAAAATTTCTTCCCAGTACTATATCTTGAAATATGCTTAAATGCTAGTTTCTAATTTAAATAAATGCTTGTGGAATACACAAAGCATAAGAACATTTTTTATGAAATTTTTGGTGTTGGGCAACTCGATAATTTTCAGGGCTGTCTCATATTTTTAAATAGACATAAAGTCAAAAAAAAAATTTGCGAGGTAAATCTCTGGTAGATTGTGTGCTTGATACTATTTTTATCTGTTCATTTCTTTTTAAAAATGGCCTTTAATATGGTAACTAATATGGTATTTTTTGTGTACGGACTAAAAGAACATAGAATAATCCCAAATTCCTACACTTAGAACAAGCCCCGTGTTGAATTGTACGCCAGTCATTCTATATGTACAATTATTTTATTGGTAGACTGTTGGATAGCATGTATTCGTAATACAGAATATTAAATTAATTAAGTAAACCATGTTTCCTCGAATTAGCACGCTCAGATGTCCCTTTCTTATTCGAGGTCAAGTAAACTTTATTTTCTGATAAGGTCTCACTGGTCAATAAAGTTTCGTCTCTAAACAGTCACTCTGCTTGTTGTTGAACATTCCGAAAGATTTTTAGCTTGCGAGCAAGCTCTCCAGTTATGAAACCGCTCATTTATAGAAAACCCAGGGTTCCTACAGCGTCTTGAATTCTTGAAAAAGTCTGGAAATTTGCCCGGCAATTTTCCAAACCTTGAAAAAATCTGCTTTGTAAGTGATTTTTTTTTCGTTTTGGTCAAGTCTTATTCGATTTCACCTGTAAGTTTGCAACGCCATCATGAAAAAAGCTTTGTTCCTGCGTTTTTAAGGTCTTTACTGATCACCTATTTGATAACCTTGAGTCTGGAAAAAATCTTGAATTTTGGATCCAATATCTGTACGAACCCTGAAAACCTTAAGAGACGCGATCACCGATAGACTACGAGCAGTCTCTCTTTTTTGTCTTGGTCAGTCGAGCAAAATGCTCGAGACACGCGAATGACCACGCGCGTGACTGAAGGCGCGAGACGGGAGAGGCTGCCGCCCTCGTTTCTCGCGGCTTCGCCGCTCAACTCTCGCGCGTGCGTGCACTCCCCTAAGAGACTGCTCGCAGTCTAGATCACCGATTAATACGAAAACTGTTCGAGAGGCTATGTCATGCTATTTGCTATCTTTATAAAAGCTAAAAACCTTTTCGCATCAATATTGAATTCCAAAAATAATGGTCCTGTTTTATTATCTAAGACTATATTTAGGTACTGAAACTGTTTCCTGTCTGTTGCAAAGGATGGCAAGGATTTTACTTTGTCAGACTATTCCACACTTTCACATCCCCAGAATGACTCAGAAGTGTGGAACTGAGAGGACACAAAAAGATAGAAGGGATATTCTGACCTTACTAATTTGGGATTCGTAAGTGCCACTCCTTGAGCATCTTACAATGGCCAGTTGCATTAAAGAGGTCCAGACCACAGCGATAAACCGTAGTACAGTCACGTGATGATCAGTCCAGGAAAAGTGGATCAGTAATTTGCGTGGACAAAATTTATAAACTGCCGACTAATGCTGTTTGCATTAGTCTGCAGCTTATAGTCTGGGCATTTTGTCTACCTGTTTTTCCCCCTCCTTGCACTGTTCCTTGTAAGATTGTCTTGGCAAGCCGTGCTGATCTTGATACATGCCCAAACCACTTGAACTTAGGTGTCCTAGATATGGCCTTAGGCCCGATGGCTTGCCTGAATGCCTCTGACTGCATCGTTGATTATCTGTCCTTTGTATGAGATGACTAGCAGTTTCCTGGAGCATCTCATCTCAGTGGCCTGAAATGTTCTTCTGGATGGCTGTTGTCAATGTCCAGGTTTCGCAGGCGTGCAAGAGTGCTGCATAGGTCTGATCTTTAAGCTAAGAGAGATATTCTTTCGTTTAATTCGAGATGGTCTTCAGTTTCGCCAGTGCTGCTGTTGTCTGCGCAATTCTGGACAGTACGTCAGGTTGGAACCTTGAACTGTGACGACGGCGCCCTGATCCTTGAAACTGTCACATTCGTTCAATTTTTTTGCCGTTGACCGTGGTATTAATGCTGATCCCATCTGTGTTGTTGGTCATCAGTTTCGACTTCTCTCCGCCAATTTTCATGCCAAAGGCAGAAGAGGTCTTGTGTAGGCGATCCACCAGAGAGGCTGCAGGTTCCTCGTCGTTGAAGCCATCATGTGAACGCCAAAACGCAAGTTTGTGATTTTTCTGCCTTCGAGCCTGACTGTTCCTTTGTGATCTTCCAGTGCGTTAATCATACTTCTGTTCAGAAAGATGTTGAAAAGATTCGGTGAGCGCAAACAGCCTTGTCTGACTCCGGCACATCGTTCTGAACTAGTCTCTTATACCGCCAGTAAGGTAGACTGCACTGGTGGCTTTGTTGTAGAGGTTCTCTGTTTAGGTTGGCTCAGGATGCTAGATCTCGTTGCTGATTTTATATAAGGCGCTAATAACAGCATCTCGTCGTGCTTATGCTAGCTACCATGGGAATTGTCCCATATCCCTGCTTCGACCTCTTCCTCCAAGACTGGGTAGTTACCAATGTTGGCTCTTGGTTGGACATTCAGTACCTCTGGGTCACCTTCGTATACATGGTTGCACAGTTTTGCGCAGTACTCTGTCCACCCATTTCGAATGTCCTAGCTGTTTCAGTCATTGTTGCATTAAAGGTGTTCATTAGTGTGTCCACTTCTGTGTCATCTACATCGAGCATGGTAAGTGCCGGTGATGGTGCAAATCTTACTAAGAAGAATTCTGCCAATTCAGGTCTTAACGCTTTTCGAAATGCAACTAATACTTGTGGGGGCCCTGCATTATAATCTTCTTCAAATGGAACTGGAAGTTTATCATTACTATAATTCATGGTCGCCTTGGACATCACCAACTGGGAAGTTTCGTGTTTGGAAGCGCCTGATGTAGTATTCTCCATTTGGGCTGAGCCGTGATTTTTGTTCTGGATGCTTTAATTATTTATGCCTGCCAGGTGAACTCACCAACACGAGATTTTCAACAAGCAAATTCCAGAAGCCTAGAACCTCTCGTTTGTCTCCGTGTTGCAGTAACGCCCACGTGTGTAGCCTGAAAAACAGCCGACATTTCACGACGCCATCACTAGTTTCCACGTAAAATGATGTCTGAGGAACGACTGAGGAAATTCTGTACTGATGACGTGAATTACCTAGATCTTGGTAGTGCTTCTGATTGGTTGGGGTGCGAGGGGAATTTGCTTCAACCAATCAGACAGACAGACAGCCTTTATTTTACCACGATGATATTAAAAGCTATGCAGCTTATGGGGTCGTGCATAAAAACTAGACCTAAGAACGAAATATATACATATTAAAATAACACAAAATCGGACTATCTAAAAACTAATTGTTAAAAACTCTGACTAAACTATGTATGTACATCAGTAAAAACTCTAAAATCCCCTAAATATAATTAAAATCTTTACGTCTAAAATTTGTAGTTGATGTAGAAGTAGTTTTAAAAGTCAACTCTTTAGAAATGTCCATTGAACGGGTTTTCCTCTTCAGGTCTTTATAACTTATGTTTCAAACATTCTTGTCCTGCTCAAAAATTTAAAGCATTCCATAGTACCCGGCCTCTATGAGCGATAGAGTTTTTGCTATAGGTAGAACTGAATCGAGGATCCGTTAGAGAAACTGGCGCTCGTAAAGAGTAACCTGTAGCGCGTTTCATTACAGGTTTATCGGATAGCACTTGTGGAAGCTCATCATGAAATGCTTTATGCATAAGCTTTAACAGAACTAGCTTTTAATTATAGCTCAACGGATGCCAATCAACTTGTTTTAACACGTCCAACGATCTCATCCTTTGGTAAATTGAAAATTATCCTTGCCGCCCTACAGTGCAATCGTTCCAACGAATCGAACAGATCAGCACAGAACGAGGCCGTAAGTTACTGATGGCAATATGACTTTGAATGAAAATTAATAACAACATCCTTTGGTAAAAACCTGGACCTCCTGATTAGGTCTAGCTTCTTTGCGAAACTCTTCTTGAGATCCAACATGTGCGGCACCCAGTAGAGTTTATCGTCAACTGTTGTACCTAGTAAGCGAAAATTGTTAACCCACTCTATGGCGTCAGTGCCAATGTGGATTGGCGCCACTAGCCCCATAGTACTGGTTTTACAAATTAGCCTCGCTTTTCTCCGGATGTGGGGTAAGGCGATTTAGAATACACCAATCATACGGTTTGTCTAAGGCTTTGTGTAACTGACCGACCGCTTCATCTGCCGTTCGTTTAATGCAGTAGATCGTAGTGTAGTGTCAATGAATAAGTAAACGGAGCCTGATTTCACACATGACAGTAGATCGTTGGTAAATAAAGAGAACATTGTAGGGCCGAGCACCGATCTCTGTGGCATACCGACGGATACAGGCATGGTGTCAGAGTTATTTCAATTAACAACTGTGTACTGTTTTCTCCCATTTACGTAACTAGCAATCCAACCCACTGCTTGATCAGAAATGCCAAAGTTCTTGCGTAATTTCTCCAACAAGACCGGATGTGAGACACTATTAAACGCTTTGCGAAAGTCTACAAGGGCAACAGCCACTGTGAGACCCGAATCAATAGCTTTTCTCCATGTTTCCGTCAGACGAACAAGCCGGAGCTCAGTCGAGTATCCCTGTAGATAAGCCCATTGTCTGTCTGAAGCTAACCCATGTTCCTTACATGATGTACTAGTGAGTCATTCACCTCTGATCCTAGGATTTTGCTCGGAATACTGAGTAGCGATATTGTCCTGTAATTTCCTATCTCTGTCGCATCGTCTTTCTTAAAGATCGGTGTAAGCGTATCAGAGGCGCTATCCAGAACTAGGTAGTGACACGTCACCAGTATGGAATTTCTGAAGTCATTTCTCAGACGTCATTTTGCAGGACCAATGGTGGCGATGCGAAATGTCGGCTGCTTTCTCAAGCTACCACATGTGCCTTCCCAGTTCTAAAGAACATCGTCTCCTACTTAGGCATTCCATTCGCCAAGCACAACAAGAATGCCTTTCTTGGGGGTCTGGTTCACGACTTCCTACTGATGGTCGCAGACCGGTCCTCAACTACATCGTCGTCATTGTCCGAAGTTGGGGCGTAAAACCTGTATGATCGTGATGTTAAATACGGTTACCATCAGGCGGATTATGACAGTATTCACAGTGTCTTCCTGATTCTCCTGAGTGGATGCTCCACCGAAGTTTTTCTATCGTACCTTTCCTTACCTAAGATGTTCCAGCGGTACCTGCCCATATGTCAGTTCTTTCAATTTCCCTGTCTTTCTTAAGGTTCTCCAGTCCAGATGCCAATAAAGATGTTTTTTCTAGCACAATGGCTACACCAGTTCGGAGTCTCCCTTCTTCTACTAAGATGGATTCCGGCTTTCCGGGTAAGGATAAAGAGGCATCTGCCCGAACCTGATGTACCGCAGTTGACTCGGTCTCTCATTCATGCGAAATTATCTCGTAGTCACCGAGGCTCACCACAGTTACCGCCCTCCGGTGGACTTCTTATGGGGACAGCATCGATTCCGCCGCGAGACGGGAGCCGTTGCTCGCATTACCTTGCACATTATATTGCACCTATCCCGTAGTCATGGTGACCGTTGGGGCGCCACGGACATAGCAACCCTTTCCCTCCATTTGATTTTGTTTTCAGATTTTCTGACGGTGTTGCAAAACTTCAACCTTTTTTCGGCCTCTTCTTCTCCCTCCATGCACTGTTCCTTGCAAAATTGTCTTGGCAAGCCCTGCCGATCTTGATACATGCCCAAACCACTTTAACTTGTGTTTCTTTACCGTGGTTAACATATTATCATAGGGCCCAACGGCTTGCCTGATTCCGTTTCTGACTGCATCCTTGGTGATGTGGTCTCTGTATGAGATGCCAAGCAGTTTTCTAAAGCATCTCATCTCACTTAGACTGTTCAGAGTCCCCTATTTTTTCGTGAGATCGTCGAGATGTAGCACGTCTTACCTTTAATGACGGCTACCTTGATTTTTAAATGTACCGAGGGGGCGGGCGTCGGGGATTACAATTATTTTCTCCTAAACCGCCCCCGCCCCCTAAGTAGTTTTGACACTCATGGAAGATGGTAGCCCGTAACCCAATCGATCTCGACAATCTTACGGGAAAATAGAGGGCTGTGAACAGTCTACATCTCAGTGGCCTACAATTTCTTCAGGATGTCCGCTGTCGATGTCCAGATTTCGCAGGCGTACAACAGTACTGAGATAACCAGGGAGCGCATTAGTCTGATCTTTGAACTTAGAGAGATATGATTATCGTTCCAGATGGTCTTCATTCTCGCTAGTGCTGCTGTTGTCTGTGTAATTCTGGACAGTACTTCAGGCCTGGATCCCTGATCTGTGACGACTGCGCCCAGATACTTGAAGCTCTCAACTTCTTCCAACGTTGTTAGTCATCAGTTTGGATTTCTCTGCATTATTTTCCACGCCAAAGGCCCAGGCGTTCCACCAGGGAGGCTGGTTCCTCCTTTTATCCTGCCAGGCCATCAATGTCATCAGCAAAACGTACGTTGGTAATTGTTCTGCCTCCGATGCTGACTGTTCCTTTGTGATCTTCCAGTGCGTCAGTTATAATTCTCTCCAGAAAGATGTTGAAAAGAGTCGGTGACTGAACACCGTTGTCTAACTCCGAATGTGGTTCTGAACCAGTCCCCTATGCCACCATTAAGGTAGACTGCACTAGTGGCACAGGCTACTAAATGACAAGGGGAGAGACTGGGATACCTGTCGTATAATTCAACGTAAAAGTCGAACTCGAGAGTCGATATCCTTCAAAGATCTTGAAAATGTGAGAGTATCAAGAAAAATGGTCAATACACCGAACGTCTTGAATCTACCTAATTTAACTGGCTGAAGTCCGATCCGTGTTGCTCCACGTAAGTACATACCAGGCGTAGTCAATCAATAGAAATCGATATCGGAAATCAATCGATACACTCGATATTAATCGAAATCAATCGCCGATTGCTCCGAATGCTATCGGTTGACATTGGTAATCGATAACAATCGAACTGACAGAAAAAAATTGTCAATTTTTATCGATTGGCAAAAATCAATAACAATCAATAATCGATAATTATCGATAACAGTCGATAATCCAAAAGAGTATTTATTTCAAACACATTACTGAAGACTGGCGTTGCTATCTATTAAACGAATATACGAGAAAGGCGTTTAAGGTTAAGCATTTTATTATCGATTTCATCATCTAGTCAAGGCGGAGTGTTCATCCCACTTGGTTTTCTGGCGTTTTATAACATTTTTATATGTCCACTCATTCCAGCGTTATCTACTGCTTCCTGTATGTCTTTTGTAGCAATCTCGCGTTGTGAATCGGCCAATTCAATGCGATATATGCATGGACATTGGAGCCCTCCAGATCGTTGCCATCTTTAATTAGGAATTCATGATCGTAAGATTTCGTAACCACGGGGTATTCGCCTAATTGCATCAAACACATTACATTCATTTTCATAAATGATGCATCATTGGTTGGCTAAAAGAGGCCTTGTTCCATGAAAATTTCAGCTCTTCTGAAGTTAATTTGTTTGTAAATTGTAACGCACGCGACGACCTTCCTTTGTTTTGAAAAATCGTATAGACCTACCACTAACACTCTGGTCCAAGGGCTCTGAAGTGAATGAGCCGCTTACAGGTGTCTAGGCATGCAGGGACCTCATACACTTCTTTTAAAAGGCAAATGTGTAAAAATCAAAGAGTGTTAAAAATTCCTGGAGAGGCATGTTTTACAACCTCGTCCCCAGGGCTTAATAAAAAGGTAGAAAAAACTTGAGGTCGACGGCGCGCTCCTTTTACCCCCCTCTCTCCATTAATTTTCCGTTTTAAGGGTATTTAGAGCTAGTCAAAGCTACACAGAAAGGAGAGAAGTTGAAATAAGGATGTGTTGACACCGGGGATCGAACTCGGGACCTCGCACACCGACAACCTCGTCCCCAGGGCTTTTCCCTCAATTTTTTGAGAGAAAAGCCCTGGGGATGAGGTTGGCACACCGAAGGCTGCGCCCTAACCAACTGTGCCACCCTTGCTCCTCCTTTTCCCCCTGAGGACGAGTTTGACATGTTTTAATCATTATCTCAAGGACAGGGTTACCAACGAAGCAAATTATAATCTAATCTTAGCTGCACAATTACAAAGTGGGCGCGTTGTCAGTTACGGTTCATGAGGTCGTCCATGTGGCATGTCAAACTTTAACGATTCTATCGTTTAGGATGTGATACATTTGAGTTTTATGTTATTGTGTGACATCTTTGAAAGCTGGCTTTGTGATCTGTTTAAATTGATATGTAATGATATTATCACTGGCAAGTCTTACCAGTGACACTGATAGCCGCACAGTCTTCACAGTGAACATGGCCACATTTACCGTGTGGAGACTGGGCACTAGTCAGTATTATGTACATGTAAAACTATTTTGAATAGTCTAACAAGAACTAAACATTCCAAATTAAAAACTTAAAAATTTGAAACAAAAGTTTTTTAGCCAAATCAAACAAGAAGAGTACTCACCACAGGGCACCCAATCTACTATTATAGGTGAAAGTTAACCCCCCCTTTTATCTGTAATTAGGACCATTTGTAACGGGCACCCCCTCCAGTATTAATCGGTAGGTGCTAAGGAAGCTCTGTGCCAAATTTGACACTTTTGTCACGTCTGTAACGATCCGGCCTATATTTTGCACTTAGAGACCTGACTATTTTGATCAAAGCTGTGTAAATCGAGCTGCAACTGAGCATGGAACCTTGCGTTTCCTGTACTTATCTCACCTATTGTATGGAATATGTGTGAAAATCTTCATTACGAATCGGTATATTTCAAAGAGCTACACAACCAACAAGAATGCTATTGATCGACAATATACAGAACGGGGGCAGCTGTAGTGTCAACTATTACTAGTATTAAGGTAAAAAGTGGTGCGTTCAGGAGTGTTCCTAGGGACACAGTCCAGGAATAAGGGCTTTCTGCTTCCCGGGAGGGTATTCAAGGGAAGTTCGGGTAGATGTGTGCAGCTGATGCCTTTACCAAATCTTTAAGCCCCAAGATCAAGATACAAATTTCTCCACTCTGGCCTCCATAAATTTCTTGACGTAAAAATTGGTTGAGAGAATTTGTTGAAAGATCAAAGCATATTTAACAATTAATGAATGAGGTTGAGTATCTTATGAAGAATTATGGAGATCGAGGAGGGTGTTATGGCCTAGGCGGATAACACCCTCCGAGATCTCCATAATTCTTCATATGATACGAAAGCCGAATTCAATAATTGTTTTATCATTCATTCAAAATTATTCCTAGTTTAAAACAACGGCTAAAACATGCTCTATCAACAATCCTTGTTCCATAAAAATGGGAAATACTGTGCAACGCACAATCGACGGAGAACCCTTGGAAGCTGTTGATCACCACAAATACCTTGGAGTTGAGATATCCCGTGATCTAAATCGCTGGAATTATAGGCAAAGCCAGCAGATCTCTTGGCTTTATAAGAAAAAACTTAAGTAAATGTCCAGAAAACGTAAAACAGCAAGCCTATCTTGCTTTAGTTAGACCACAGCTTGAATATATGGATGTTGCGCATGGGATTCTCACATTCAAAAACAGATAAAGGACATTGACAGTACACAGAGTCGAGCGGCGCGTTTTGTTAAAAATGAATATGGCACAACTCCTGGAACTATTACGAAAATTTGAATGATTTGAAATTGCGAACACCCGAGAAGTTTCTTAAGGCTTATCATTTGCATGTGGTTCTGATCGTAATTCGCTAAAAAAGGAACAAATATGTAAATCATTATACTTCACAGGTGTTTTCAATACATTAGATTCTTATTATTTTTTTACGAGAACCAAAATAGAATAATGAGTCATTTATATTCACCCATGCGCAAATAACCCCTAAACGATTTTTGAAATTTCTTAACGGCATCGTAGTTTCGAGCTAGTCTCTCCTGAACAATCATGGATCGCTTGTGTTTAACGATACCTGATGAAAGTTACGGCTGCTAAAACTGTTCCTTCTATTGCAAAGTAGTATAACATCAGAACTGTACCAAAAACACAGCGAAGAAATTCAACTCGCGAATCAATATTGAACAGATTTGAAAGTGTAAGTGTTACAGCTATTGCTATATCTCTTGCCTTTCGCTTGTCGAGGCGAATAGCAAAAGAGCTGCGAATTGCACACTATTTAGACTGTGAACTTGTTTCTCAACTGAAACCTTTCAGAGTGTTTTATTTTAATATAATCGGCAGTGGTATGTTTTTCCTTTTTCTTTTCCCTCAGGTTTGAGAAGTAACATTCAGTGCATGCATTGTTGAGTGATGGGGAACGTAAAGAAGAGAGTTATCAGTTCATGGTAGAAAAGCAGCAAGAGATTTGTAGAGGTAACTATCCAAGTAAAAAGTCACCTTAACCAGGACAATCATAAACTGACAGAAGGATAAATAATATGGTTTTAATATATGGTGATGGAAAACGTGTCAGTTTTTTTGTAGGATACCTGAGGTTACTATAACTTAGTTATGTTAGACCCGGTAACGAGTTGAAGTATGATTGATTTTCTCTGGACAATATTTGCTCCTGAGCGATTTTACATTAGGCAATATACTATACTAATTAGTTTTACGAGCATTATCCCGATGAGCAAATAGACTGCTTTATAAAGTTGTTATCACGTACCTATATATTTACTTCAATGTTTTTTTAAAAGTTCAACACATAAGAGCAAAATGGGACATGGGTGTTAGAGAATAAATTAAGAGCAAAAATTATATTGTGACAAGTTCTCTTCTTAGTCTGCAACCATTTGCTAAAATGAAAATCATTTCCTTTTCGTTTACTGACGAGAGTCGTCCAAATTTGTGTTTACCTTTGTGTTGTTTGGTTCAGTATCATCCCTTCAAATCAATTCTTTCCCTTTCAAAGTGCATGTCTCGGCCAAATGAAGCATTCAGGCCCGCGGACGGAACTTTTAAGATACTTGGATTTTCTTCCAGGGGTTATTCCCTTATATACACTGCAAGCCACATAGGCATGTGCCAACCCAAAGGATATGGTTTTTGCGCTTTTCGGTCTAAAAACGGGTATACACTTTGCTCATTTTGGTTTGGAATTGGGTGTGGTTTTCGAAGGAAAAAAACGCTGTGTAAGCACGTATTTGTCGTTTCAATTCCAAATTAAAGAATAAGAAAGAAAAAGAAATATTTGCAAATTCTTTGACATAATTTCTGCCTAGAGGCCAGGACTGAAAAAAGGCG